ACAAACAACTGTTATGCTGGAGATTCCGTTGAAGGCTGGGATTTTTATCTCCTCTTAAGGTACGACGTACTTTACAAGTTTTTAGATTTGGACGACCCTATTGGTTGGTTACTTTAACACCAATGCCGTTCATCGTATTTCCTCATCCACAAGAGTCCTGGAGTTTTCGTCGTTTAACAAACAACCTGCTGATTCAGTTGATCGGAAAGGCACCTTAAATCTGCCAGCACCGGGGAACCTGACGTGTGTTGTATATTGATCAACTACTGGTGAGACTTGGGAAGCTTCCACGCACGTATAAAATCCGTCTCAGTTTGAATTTATATGCGTTCTTTGCACCACAGAATCCAAGCATAATGGGCCTGCGCTGACCTTCCGTGTTTTGTCACCGAGATAACGTATTTCTGTGGACGTTTATGTTTACGTTTGGGGGGAGGGGAAAGAAGTGGTCTGCACTGAACATCGAATGTATGAATTACGGTTCAGAGTGATCCAGTATAACCCTTGCTTCGTATTAACAGTGAAATATACCTATAAACGTCTCGTCATACAAAATAATGGCTGTGGCAAAATGTGTGCTTTGAAAGATGCACAACTTTTGTATACGATAATTTTCGATAGGGTGATCATGCATGGAAATACAACATAAAATAGTTTTTTCATTACTTTTTTGGAATCAATTTGAAAGGATGTGTTTGTGGTCTAATTTAAGGCCTCATCCCAGAATTTTGCCTGGAAGGGCTGAAGATTTCTACTAAACCCTCAACAGGATGGCCCACTCTTCAGGCATAGATTTGAACCTGCCACTTCTGGTATACGAAGCAGGAGTGCTAACCACTCAACCGTGACGTTCGGTATACGAGGTGCGATCGAAAGGTTTCCAGACTGCGCGTATAAAAACCCGTACACTTATCTCAGGTATTAAATTCATCCATCACCCTCGAAGTAGTTCCCCTGGGAGTGAATACAACGATCCCAGCGCCGCTGCCAAGCCTGGAAGCATCCCTGGAAATCTTTCTTTTTCAGCCTGTCAAGCACCATCTGCGATTTTGCCTGAATCTCTTCTATCGTCTCAAATCTCCTTCCCTTTAGCTGAATTTTTATCTTTGGGAAGAGGAAGAAGTCACACGGAGCTTAGAAAGGAAGTTGGGGTCGGTTCTTGCAAGATCTTTGAGCTCCTGACAAACGAGAAGTCGATTCTGCTTCTGGTCCTCAGACAGGATCCGTCGCATGTAATGACTGACTTTACAACGGGTTCCTGTCATCAATAGCAGAGCGTTTCTCCTTCGAGGTCTTCGTTGTTATTTGCCATCGTCCCACGATGTGTGCTGCAGCCCTCGCCAAACAGCACATTATCGTACGTCGGTCCTAAGGTAGGGACTTCACCTCTGACCCTGCATTTCGCCAGTCTTACAGTAAAGATAGTTACGAGCGAATGTGTGCTTCGTATATGATTTGCACATTTTTTTCAGGCCCAGTGCTTAGTCATGTTTTCTTTCGGCAAGACAAAAAGTTTCTCGTTTGGTTTGTCTCAGTTCCTCACTTTAGGTAGCAAGACGCACCTACTCAAGTTAAAAAGTAGCAGCTCAGTGGTGATGTCGTGTAAGAGGCCATGGCAAACCAGAAAACGAGCTTGGACTTACGTATACCGCCTGTAAAAACATTTTGACATTTTGACTGTCAGCATAATAATGGGTTTTGAAGTAACAAATATAGGCCAGTTACTATCGGATTAAGTTCTAACTTGTGTCATTACTATAGATAAGATTGTGTGTTTGAAAACTTTTCATATTAAGTACAAAGACGTGTAGATATGCGTATAAAAAGTAGATTCACTACTTTCTGTGTGTGTGTGGGGGATTTGAAATAAATGTAGTTTAATTAATACCGGTAGCCAGCTACAGAAAATAAAAGACACGTGGCGGAACGTCGGTCATCTGTTACGAGACTACACGGTGCAGTATCAGAAAAGTCTCTCATTTTCTTGTGTGAGAAGATTTTAATTGAATCTTAGGAATTGCGGTGTGACGTGGTCTGGGATCATTTAGCTCAGGATAGGACCAGTGCCGGCCTTTCGTGAACATGGGAATCAACTTCGGGGTCCTATAAAACCCTGGGATTTCTTGACCAGATGAGCAAATATCAGTTTTATTAATGGCCCTGTTCCATCATGGAGGTGGTATACCTGTAGTGCAAATACGACAGAGTAAATGCAAATCAGCCATTCCTTTATGTTACTCGTACCACGTGGTGTGTGGATGAAGATGACACGTCCTATAAGGACCCCCTCCTCTCCAGACAAGGTCCTTGAAGACAATCCAGTCCATTTTTCAGGACGTTTCGTCCCACTAAATCCATAACGCTTGCTCTAGAAAGAATTGTTATGGTCGATACATTAAAAAATGTATTTTGTGGTTAATGAAGGAAGCGGGCGCGTTTTCAAACTGGCAGAATTCTTTGCCAGGTGGCCCGAAGGATGATAATCGATATCGCCATTGTCTTGTTGTGGTTTGCTGTTGTGACGTCAGTCAGTCACGCCAAGCCCTTGCCTTTCATGTGGGAAGTTGTCGCCTTCGAAGTCAAGTAAAACAAGTGTTACTGCTACACCCACCGGTCATATTGGTTCACTGTTCACTTAGCGTACGGTATGTCACGCTCTTTTGTCGGTATTTGTCGCCGTGCACAATTTAAAGCGCCCCGAATACAATCCAAATTCCGGATTCTCGATAGGTTCAATTGAAGAAAAGAATAACTGTAATGAACTGTCGGGTGCCA